TATTGCAGGAGAGTGGAACTCGAGGGGTTTGTGTTCGGGGCATCTTGCTGGCAGATGAACTGCCCCAGTGTGCTGCAGGCCTTGTGTGGGCTGTGAGTTGGAAATTCAAGGCTAATTCTCACTGAAGGAGGCAACACATCTAATGCGTGCTTAGGTATCACGTTACTGGTTAATTAAGAGCACTTTCTGATCTTTATTGTGTTAGGTAGGGTTTTGTAGTAGCAACTAGAAACTAGCCAATTTTGTAGTAGCAACTAGAACAGGCAGCCTGGAAAATGCCATGAATGTTTCCAGTGCTTTTGACTCTTTCAGCATATGGAGAAAGCAAACAGGAGTTCCTGTGCATTTACAGGTGAATTTTGCTTTAGGTAATGGCAGGAAAGGAAACCCCTCATTTGGGACTCAAAAGAATTTCTCTGCAGAGAAAACGGGTTAAAGGTTTGAATGTTCTTTTGTCCTTGATTTCTCTGAGAGAAGCCTGGTGAGCCTGTGTGAATAAGCTGTCAGTCTTACTGGTGCCTCTTGCCCATAAGTACTTAAGTAACTCCACAGAGATTCCAGTAGAGAACATCCCTTACAGAAAATAATTTTCTCTAAATTTTTTGTTGTGCTCTTTTTAGACTTCTTTCAAGGTTTAGGCAGGGCTGTTTCTATGTTGAGACAGCTTGAAGAGTATCTGGCAACAGGTCACCTATTTGGGGAAGTCAATAAACATTCTGTAAACAGCAGTGGATAGGATAAATGTAATGGGCCCTGGAGCACTGCATTGCAAGTAAGGTTTAATTTTCTCCTATCAAACTGCTTGCAATTATTGTATTTAGGACCTATTAAATGAATATTCTTGACATGGAAAAGTCCCACTTTCTAAAGGTGATATAGAGGTGCATAGCAGTTAGAACTTAGTGCATAACTGATTAGCCATATCACTCTGTAGCCAAAGAAAAAGGGGAAAAAAGAATCCAAACTGCTTGTCTTTGATGAGAGTGGCTTAGAAATATGTGAGTAGCATACAGTCTAAGCAAAAATGTTTCTGCTTTTCCAGTGTGTGCTGTTTGAAAGCTCAGTGGACACATTGCCAAGACCATGCCTGCCTTTTTAAAGCCAAGATCAGCCAGCCAAAGATTCATGTGCTGTTCTTTAGATTTCATTCTGCTACTTAATTTCTATTAGCAAACTTCCCTTCAAATGAAATGTTGATTAGACTAAGCTTGTTAATCATGCATAGAATAGGAATTATAGTTTATCTAGAAGCAAAATGATAGTACCACCACCAGACCTGTTTCGATATAGTTACTGCAGTACAGTTAGGGCTTTCATACCACATACAGAGCTGAGAATCACCTGCATTACTTCTGGTATTTCCATGTTGTCTGAACAGCTCATAGGAAAACTTGTGTGTATGTAACAGGACTGGAAGATGCTCCTGACATTACTAGTAAAGACTAGTACTGGGAAAACGAACTGGACATGTCAGCGATGTAAGGCAGTATATCCACTTCCATGGATTTGTGGAGGTGGGGAAGATTCTGTGATTCTCCAGCCTGCCACTGTCAAGGGATCCTTCAGGATGTAGGTGCATATTTCTACTGTAGACACACACATTAGCAAGTGTCTGGCTCAGTATCTGTCTGTGCCAACATCCTCAGTCTGTCTGTGGGTGGGCGCATGGGTGTCAGCTCTGTTATCAAACTTGTTAAGGAAAGGGAGCTTAGCAAATGGCACTGCCTCCAAAATATCTCATGCTCAGCTAGTTTCCTGGATGGCTTTTACTATTTGGGAAGGGCCACAAGTGTTCCCTTTCTGCATTCAGAGGAACTGAAGAAAATAATGCCAAACACTGTTCCTTGCTTAGGGCAATTCTTTGGCAGCAAGATAAGAAGCCTTAAATGCCTGTTGGTTTAATGGTTTAGTGTTTTGGGAGTCTGGATACAAATAGTTCTTTTGAGCAGCTTGGTGGCTTTCATTTGTATCTTGGTTTCTTTGATTTTTAACTTTTTTTTTTTTCTTGAAACTTTAGCTTTAGGGTGGTTTACTATCCAGGTTAAATATGCTTAGTGCCAGAGCAAGGTGTGTACAGGTAACTGATTTTTCAGTTATCGGATGCTAACTCAGTTGCTTTGCTTCAGAAATGAACTTCTCAAAGAGTTGTTCTCTTTAAAGATACTAAAACTGTAATACTGTATATTATGTGACAATGCAGGCAGTAGGCTATGGCTTTTTAAAAATACAGCTGTGTGAATTATTTAATTCAGATTTAAAGGATCTCTGATAGTTTTTTTTCTTTGTATTTGGATTTTAGTAGCCTGGTATATTTGAGAAACATTTTGCTTTGAATGAGCAAGGTGTCTGCAGTGTAAGTGGCTGTACCAAAACAGGAATGCTACGTTAGTTGCTGAGTGCAGCTGAAAACCTGAAATAGCTGGGTTTACAACTGCCTGTGAAATCACATTGGTAAGCTGGATTATCCATATATCTGCTAGTAAAATAAAGTAAATGACATCACACACAGCTGAAATTTGCTTCCCTCTGTGGAAACTGGCTTTGTTTTTGTCTGTGTGCTGATACTCAGTGTGAAATACACACTGCAGTTTTAAAAATAACAAGCTTTGAAATTTGAAAGGCCATGGAATAATTGGGCATATCCTTGAAGTGTGTTGTACAGTTACTGTAGAAATACCAGAGGATGGGTGTGCTTCTAAGGTGTAGCAGTAGGCGTTGCTGGCAGCTTTGAGATTTTTGGAGGTCTTGATGCAAACAGGAAAATGACTAGAACGTGCTGGGCTGTTACAGGTGTCTCTGTCAATGACACCAGTTGTGCCCAGGCTGGCTCCTGTTCCATTGATCTCTGCCCCAGTCAGCCACACTGATCTCTCTTTTGCCACTCTGCTGACCTGCTGTGTGCAGATTGAGGGTACACTCACTGTTGACAAGTTGACTTTTCTGCTGTAAAATTGCCTGGTGCCTTTAACTAAGGTTAGATGACTTTGCCTCTGTGAAGGAAGTGTGGTGCTAGAGTTGGCAGCAGCATCATGCCACACTTTCAGCATCATCTGGCTACAAGGAGATAAAAACTTCACAGCACTGGCTCCTGTTATTACTGGCTGAATGTGCTGGTGTTTCATTTCAATCCTGTCTGTCTGCTTCTAGTGAAGAAGTGGCAGTTTTTCTAACCCTTCCATGTTACAGCAGTTTTGAACACTAATAAGTAATGATACATGTGGTGTCTGCTCTTTGGTTTAAAAGTGATTTCTAGAAGAATTCTTTTCAAGAAGTGACTACCAGAATAGGGATTTTTCTGACTCCTGATTTGACCAGTATTGAGTAACAAGGATTTGCTAGATGGGGAAAACTAGCTACCTTTATTGTGTTTGTCTTGTGCTAGTTGTTCTCATGTGAATTGAGGTCATCTTTAGCTTTATGATTGTCTTACTGTTATAAGCTTTCTGCTTGAAAATCAGTTGTTTCTGAAGAAGTTTTCTCAAAAGTTGTTTTGTTGCATCTCATGTTTCTACCAGTTTTTAGAGGATGACATGTTCAGAGGATAAATTGCTGTTTAAATTTAAAAATAGTACTTTTTTAATACATGTGATGCTACTTGACAGTAAAGGGAGTGGAAGAGTATAGATGAAAAATCTGTGAAGTGGAAGACTCAAACTGTTTCTCTTTCATATGCTTCATGGCAAGAAATTTACATATGCAGGCTACTAGTAGCTGTTTAAATAACTGTGTTAGTCCTTGCAAACAACATCTAGTAGAGGATGAAGGCTTATGGAGTAGTTGCTTAAAAACAGTAAATCGGGCTACAAGATTTTACAATTCTTTCCTAGGTCTAACAGTGAAGAAAGGTTTGGTGGCATCATGCAGACTTCTGCAGTACCTCTGGAAGTAGAACCACTTTATTTAGAGTGACCTGACACAATGATAAAACTCTCAATTTTAGTTCATTGTTTACTCTGGTAGATGCCACCCATTTGAGTTGAAATGTCACATGCCAGATCTGTCCCGGGTGGACTCATAAAACAAAATCACTTGATGCGTCTTTCTTT